CCAAGTGGGGGTCCAACCAATATCCTAAGCCGTTCTTTAGACAACAAGACCCCAATAATGAAGTTGATGTTAAATTTCGGATGTTTGCGAATGAAACCCTCAAAGCCCTTAATCACTATCGCGCGAAAAGATACAGCTCAAACCTCACTGAAGTGCAAAAACGTGGTATGCGAGAGGTATGAGAGCTGAAATGGTTGAAAAACATAAGAGTATCCGTTAGTGATAAGGGTGGAGAGTTTGTCGTAATTCCCCATTAGTTAGATGTTGAGATAACGAAAAAGCATCCTAAAGATGCTTCACTTTATCACCCATCATCTGAGAAGTACAAGGTACAAAAGAAAACGAGAGAGAGAGGTGTTGAAAAGTAAATACCGAAAATTGAACCACGAATGGGCCAAAATGGCAAGGGCTGCTGGTTTAAAACCATCAGTTATCTCTCAACTAAAAATTGACTTACCAATATGTCCCGTCTTGTACTTGCATATAAAACTCATAAGTTAGTATCCAGCGATGATCTTGCGTCTACCGATCCATCATGATTTAAGGTTAGACCTATCATTAGCTGTGTAGACGGGCCAACGGATAGAATAACATGGTTTTTAACCCTAGTATTTAACCAGTTGTTGAAACACATTCTAGTCCATTTTGCGAATACCCAGATGTTTCTGGATCGTATACGTACTGCACAGCCCAACAGTGCGTTCGTGATGGAGTCCTTCGACGTTACCGTCATTTATACAAACGTGTCGAATGACTCCGCATTGCAAGCCATATGCGAACTCCTCATACAACACGAAGAAGAAATAAGCATGTACGGCTTCAAGATAGAGCAGTTGATGGCAGTCTTAAAAAAATGCTTGAGCTGCTCAATCTTCAGATGTTACGGAAAGTACTGCGCTCAAATAAGAGGGTTGGCAATGGGACAGCGACTGGCCTCCAAGTCTTGCCATTGCGTTTATATCTAAGGTGGAAGCACCGATGATTGATCTTGGACCGCTACTCTTCTGTAGATATATAGATGACTGCTTTGTCCTTTGCTCAACACAAGAGGAAATGGGCAAATGTTTCGAGTTGTTGAATAAACAGTCAGAGTATATCAGGTTCACCAGAGAGAAACCGAAAGAAAATGGCTTCCATTCCTGAACGTCCAAATTAACCTGTCAGAAAATGGCTACATTACGAAGTGGTACCGAAAGCTAAGTAGTAAAAACATCTTGGTACATTACCTCTCTTCTTACCCCTCTCACACGAAAAGAGCGCTTGTAAGAAACATGTTTCGAGCAGCAACCAACGTGTGCACGGGAAGAGAGCAGAGAGAGGAGTTCAGTAACTTGGCGCGGCAAATAGCCATTTCCAATGGCTACGAAACTGTAACTCAGGGTAGGTGTAGGGGAAATCGGAGGCCCAAGGTCACGTTTATCCTACCCTTCATCTCAAATGATGTAAAAGCGGTTATAAAACGCTGCTTAAGAAGGGCGGGCCTAAAGAATTCAGTAAACGTAGTTGAAATACCACCGAGTAATCTTAGGCGCCAGCGAGTTCGTAACCGCCTATATGACCGTCTATGTGCAACACAAAATTGCATAATTTGCCCCAATGGTAAAGACGGTGATTGCATGAGCTCGGGTATAGTTTATCTGATCCCCTGTAAGGCGTGGTGAGACGAATACATTGGCGAAACAGGCCGACCCCTCTGTGTCCGCATAAAGGAACACCTAGCCGGCAAACATAACCCAAATACCCCGCTAGGCACGCATAGGACCCAGAGACATAACGAAGAGGACTTTGAAGTTCGTGTCACGATCCTCGGGCAGGAATCAAGAACGCAAGCGCGCAAAACTCTCGAGGCGTTCTGGATTAATTCCAGAAATCCGAAAATGAACCGCAGGGAAGAATGCCTCATTGTCACGCGTGATAGTATATAAACCTGTTATTCTGATGGGAGGGGCACATTACGCTTCCATGTGAATTCTGCGTGGTTGGTCTTCACGCGACATACTCAGTGGAAGACCCACAGAGTGGGTGTGTTGTGTTAAATGTGATTGAAATCTTGGTTTTGCGTTTTCTCTGTTTGGTTATGGAGATGTTTGGCCGGATATATTGCTGTCAACTTGACCCTTCCAGGCTCTGAGGAAGGCGAAATCCGCCGAAACGTCAGCTTGTGCGTAAATAAAGAAATAAAATAGCACCTTGTGTTTGCTGAACAGAAGTAGAAAGAATTGTTTAATCAATGCCGAGGTTAATAGAAAGTCGTACGTGGGAGTTACTACATAAATTGAATTCAAATTCAAAAAAAAATTTTCAGATCGAACTCACTTGTTGCATATGCTTATAAAAATAAGTGGCAATAAGTGGATACAAGCAACTGCAAATAATTTGCCATTCTTTGCGACAGTAGGCAAGAGGAAGTGAGTCACGCCGCAGTTTCGGAAAGCGATTGCTGCAAAATTTGTAGTGTCTTTATAGCAGAGTTTGTAACTTCTGTCTTATAGAATACATAAACGTTTGCACTACTAAGGTGCCGCTTTTGAGTCACCATATCTCTTTAATCTGTCTGCATTCGCCGTTATCAACGCCCTGTAAAGAACGTGCCGGAAACCTGCGTAAGCCGGATGAATGATTACTCAGTGTTATCGACGGCGCATTGAAGACGACGATGATGGGAACATTCCATATTACGCAAGCAATAGGTGGATTCTCCGAGGTTCTGATCAACGTATACTGTCGCGAATAAGAAGCCCCGTAACATACACTAAAGTGTGAGTCGTGAATCTTGAACTCGTTTTCCTTCTGGGAAACTCTTTGTGTGCGTTGATGTGAAGTCCTGATGAAGCAGGACGCAATAAAAGCGTGCTTTTCTGAGCAGTACGTACTACTCAGCTGCGTCTCCTTTAATATTATACTAATAAAGCAGCATGCCGCATCTTCTCGTCATTCGCGATTTGCCCTCTTTCACACCACTTATAGTAATTCATTTTAGAACGAAACTGATCAAGCCGACGCCAATCAACCATGTGCTGCGTGAATGCAACTAAGATGTCATCTGTATTTCTAAAATTCTGCAGCACGGAAATGTGAAACCTGGCAGGATCCTATACCTAGTAATATTGTTTTTTTCTTAGGAAAAAATCTGCGGAAGGAGAAAAACATAATAAAATAGTGAAAAAGATAAAATAAAAACAATAAAGAATATAAGTTTAGTACAGCTGCTTTCAGTGCCGTTTTGAATTTGCTATTTCAAACTTTCTAGTCTCATGTCTCCTGCCAGCGCAGGCCGGTTTCTTGTGGTTCGAATGTCTCGGCCTTTCGGCGTCCTTTTTCCTCTTTTACCCTAATGTGAAATGTATAAACTTCAGCCTCATTGACTGTAAAAACTGACGACTAGCAGATAATCATTCTGATTTTCTTTTGAAATGGAAAAGAAGAAAAAGCAGGTAAATTGCCATGATTTCAATAACCACTTAAAGCACCGGAATTTCATATGAGTTGACCTTATAGGCTACTGATGAATGAACATCAAAGGATGGGTCAGTGCCATTCTTCGACGAGATATTCCCATTGATGGTGAGGATCTTGCCATTGCACAAATCGTCTAAATTCCACCTGGTTCTGAGCAGAGCAGGCTTGTAGATTATGAAGTGAACTCCGAGCTGTTGTAGAGCATTAGGATGAGTGTCTGAAAATACCTGATCGCCATTCGCGCTGTCATTCCCTTTGAGCAAAACGATGGGACACAATTCTTGCAGCCCTGACTGAAATGATTGTTAACTTTTTTATTTACTGCCTGCTACAGTTTCCACGGCAGGGTACTATGCCAAATCAGCAACAATGATGCTGAGATATTCGCAAAACTCCGGAGAGCAGGTGTCTGCGGTGGGAGTCGAACACATTTCTACCCTTTCCTAGGGTTGACGCATTCACCACAGCACCATGCGCGTCGTTTGTTTCGCCTTTCTCTTAGCTGTTTTCCTCAGCTAGTGGTTCTCAGTTTTTCTGTTCTCTCAGCTAGTGGTTGTGAACGCGTTAGCCACCGGAAAGAGTAATGGCGTGTTCGATCCCCACCGCAGACAATTGCCTTCCGGAGCTTTGCAAATATCTCAGTTATCTCAAATAACATCATTGTGGTTGATTTCGCATAAAACCCTGACGGGGAAATTGTAGCAGGCAATAAATAAAAAAGTAAACAATCATTTCAGTTAGAGCTACAAGAGTTGTGTTTCGTAATTTTGCAAAATGGGAATGTTGTTCAAATGTCCCTTGACTCTGTAACCGACGATGTATGTTCAGTGTGCAAGAGGTGATAGAATGCATATGGGCCCTTACAATGACTAGCAGTGGCCTACCGATGTATCGCGCCAGTGCTGCTATCCTCCCAGACGTCTGGTAGCAATTTACTGACCCCGAAGAGATGGAGGGTTTGGTGAGCCATAGGCGTGTTGATCGACCCCATGTGCGTGTCGAAGGGCGCCTCCGACAGCTGCACCATACGAGCCTTTAAAAATAGAACAGTAGTTGAGTCAAAAAGGTGATCGCGGTTCGAAATATTCCAATCGATCAGTATGGATGTGTATTTCATCTTTACGACACCTTGTCGACGCGAAACGATGGACACATTAGCACAGTTCTGGGGTTTTGAAGATAATGCTCTTTGGCAAGTTTCTATGCATGCAAAGGAAAATCTGAAATAGAAGGTGAACTCGTCGGTCGTCCGCAGCTTAAAAGTGCTCCGTATGGTACATGGGTGCAACTGGATGTGATGGTGTGTAGGCGAATCTTAACGAACGAGGGTCATACTTAGGACACCAAAACGTTCGGAGCACTTTCAAATAAGTGAAAAAAAACGTACTAGACATTGAGAATGCAAAGCGACACTAGCGCAAATTCCCTAGAGCTACGATGTTGAGTCGTCCGAGTAATGAGAGATCGTACGCAATTACGTACATATTTTTGAACATTCCTCTATAAAATAGGCAGTTTGTTTTCTCGCTGAAGGCTTTCCTATGTTTTCCTTTCGTCAGCGACTACGGTTCCTGCTGTACAATTCACAGAGAGCATGTCGACATGGGATCGAATCTCCACCGATTCCTTCTTTTTCGAAGGCAGATGTCGTTGTGAAATCGAAGAAGGCGGGGCAGAAATCCAGTACTGGCGCTGATCATTGGAAAGCAGTGCTGATTGCCGAAAGGGAGAAGGAACTAAAAGCAGAACACAAGCGTTATAGTATAGTGCAAGAAAATCGTGCTCAGCAGTCTCAAATAATCAGGTTTGTCTTGTTTTTATTTGTGCAGTCATTTTCAGTAACTGAGGGAATAGGAGATACTAATCGACTTAGGATCTTACCATGCTTATTAAGCCTATTTCCCAAGTTTTTCTTATCACTAATGTTTGCAATAAATAAATAAAAACGATAGTGCTCCCGGCGTTGATCAATCCCTGAGGAATGCACCGTGCATTCAACTTCATTTAGCATCGTTGGAGGTGACTGACTGCATGTCTGGCCTTTACAATGACCCGAGGTGGCCTACCAATGTATCGAACCAACGCTACTCTCCTCCCAGACAAGTCTGGTACCAGTTTGCCGACGCCGGAGAGCTGGTAAGTTTAGTGACCCTTGAGCGTGGGGATCGATCCCACATGTATTGAAGGGCGCCTTCGACCACTGTGCTACATGCGATCTATGTGTTTGTTTGTGACAGTTTTGGAATAATTCCCTCTATTCAGGTGTTTTTCACAAGAGGTAGGGTTTGGGTTTATAGTTACTCGGGTTTTTTTACCGTTAAATTGCTGATATTTCAGGTATGCGATTACTGAAGATATCTCATCAGTTATCTCAGTCATATATCAACGTGTTAAAGCTGTTGGAAACAAAGGAAAATTGACTGAGGAGGATGACCAGGTGAAAGACTTATTAAAAGACTTTGGTAGAAGTTCGAACGGTTGCGTTCGTCAGTGCTTTATCTATCCTGAGTATTCTTTTATTAAAGGCATATGTAGCGCAGTGGTCGGAGGCGCGGTGCAATACAAATGGGTTCGATCCCAGCGCCCCAGGCTCACCAAGCCCATCATCCCCCGGAATCGGCAAATTGGTACCAGACTTATCTGAGAGAGTAGCAGCACTGGTTCGATGCATTAATGGGCCACCGCGAGTCATTGTACAAGCCAGATATGCATTCAGTCATCTCCACGATGCTTGGTGAAGTCGAATGCATGGGGAATCCCTTAGGGATTTATCAACACCGAGAATTTTGTCCTTTTTTATCCTTTATTCTCTAATTTTATAATCAGGAATTGATTAAAGCTTCGCTGTGGTATTTATAGCTCCAGCATTTTTCAGTTCATCTCTTGTTCATTGATGATTGTTCTGAAGAGTCTTGAACGCATATTACAAAACAAAGAGGAACTGAACAGCTCGGAAATACTGTCAATGTTCTTCTCGTTTGGTAAGTGTTAGGTAATAGTCATGTAAAATGTAGTCTAGCTTTCTTTTTGGTATTTTTTAATCAACTTTACCTTCCCAACGGTTTACCGCCTCATCATGTCGTGGGGTGTACTTGAGTGTAGGGCTGCGATGAACAGCGGGGAGATTCTTCTCCACAGGAGGAATTCCCAAGGTGACAAGCAATACGGCGTTTCAATCAGGAAACCTAAGTAAGAATAAACCAATGCCAGGATCTACCACTGTCCTGGGATCAGATTGGTCACATGGTGGCAAATCGCCCTCTGATCCACAAGAGCGGCGACTACCTGTGGTAGCGACGACGCGGAGCAGACTTTGGCTAGGTTGACCTTAGGACTTCTGGGAACCACAATGGCTAGACCACCAAAACTCCAAAAAACTAGAGATTGTGCTGAAGTCCGCGCAACCAATGAAGACGGGCCATGCAAGTATCCAAGTATTTTTAATCATCGTCGTCTTGTGTGCGCTATGAAATGCTGATATTGTTTCTGTTTAGAATATAGACTTTACAATTCATTTAATCATTTTTCTAGCGAACTTGTGGGATCACATACGTATTTTTGGTGATGACATGAAGATCTGTTCTGTTTTGTTGTATGACAAATTTGACCTTTGGTCGCAGTTAAGAGCTACTGACGAATCATCTGAGGAAATCGACCAAATTTTGGCATTGATGGAAGGACGGTTAAGAAAACTGGTAACTTTTTCTTCTTCCCTCCTTACTGGATTTGTGATTATACTTGAATTTCGATTCCGTTTCTTTCACAATACACCCCAAGTTGAGTACGATTCGTTAGATTTTCTAAAACCAATTATCCTCCATTTTATTTGCATGGTTTTTTTTTCGATAGTGGTAGTATTGTAACATCAAGGTTTTTAGTTTTAGAAGCTTTTACACTTACAGGTGAAGAAGATATCGCTCGAAAATTCTCAGCTATTTCTTTCTTCATCCGATCGAGATCATTTAATTAAGCTGTTGGTTGATTTAGATGCTAATTTAGATAGTAAGAAACGGTACTCGAATCACGATACTATGTATGATCAGGTTAGTTAATAACCAGTTATGAAAACGTCGTTTTCAAGTGGAAAGATCATTTCGTTTAGAGTATATCCCTTTTGGAGCATTTTCGTGATCCGGTTGCAAAGCAGGCGTATCAAGGAAATCCATATCAACTCGATGGTATAACTAAGGTACTTCTCGGTGTTTTTTTCCGCAACAGGATTAACGTACTGTTTCGGACAGTTTTTTGACTGTCGCTTTCGCTTTTCGCAAATTGTCAGTCTTGTTTCCAGTTATCGAATCTTTCTTTAATCTTGTTTGGTCATAATAGGTCTAACTTTTACGATCCCATGTGACTTGGTATCCAATCGTAAGTTGAGTGCCTACGGCAGATCTTCTGACGTGAACTAATATCCACTCATTTTCTTTTTGTTCTTTTATTTTGCTTGCAAAGAGGGACTGGGACTCTGCCGTGACACAAATATAGTGCTATGAGCTAGCCCGGAAGAGAGCACGACTCATGTATAATTAATACGTGCCCGAATCCTATTGAAGTTTGGAACTACAACAAAGGATGACTCATATTGAATAATCTGCGTTCAAATATAAATCAGTAGGTCTACAGGTCTTTGTTAACGAGGTACGACTTTCCTTGTTGTGCAGCGCTGGAGTTCAGATCTTTTCCGAGCCCAAAAAGTGTATTCATGAGTTGATGAGAAAGTTGATCCTCCTACTCTGCTTTTATTGGTTTAGGAAAATTATATAGAATTATTTCCTGATCACATCGCTACCGAGAAAGCGTCATGGCTATACGTTGAAAATTATTTGGACTGCTCTAAAGAGGTTTGTCGTAGCAACGCTTAAAAATTTTTGTAATAGTTCCATGAATTGGCTTTTTATACAGGGTTCTATGTTGTCTGCTGAAGGTTTGATAGACTCTTGGGGGTGGTTGGAGAAGTTGCAATTCGCTCTAGAACGGCTACTGGAAGATCGTGTTCAAAATCCTTGTGAGCTATATTCTAGCTTTTCGTTTTGTTAATCAGAACAGAATCAGTCAGACAGTTTTAATGGTATGTTTAGTGAGGCTGATTGTCAAAATTGTTCATAGCAAGGAATTGGCAAAGATGATTTTGGAGTCGATAAAGGCCGTTTGTTCACAGGGGCAAAATTTAGTGCCAATAACAGTATTTCATTATGATATAGTTGCGCCTATACTACGCTCAGTTCATTCGAAGTTTGTTCAAAAACTTGGAATCAATGAGGTTGAGGTGAGAATACCAATCCCATTCGGAGTGTCAGGGAGTTTTTATTCGCGTTTAGATGTGGTCATCTGTCTTCGCCGACTATGTAAGTTTATTCGAAGACAGTGAGATCGCTCGAATGCATACACATCGAGAATGGTGGGTGAAATGTTGCCGACGTTTTGGGATCCATCCTTCCTACCAGGTGTTGTTACATTTTAGCCAGTATTGCCAAATCTTCACAAATTCATGGCCATTGCTGATTGTTAGCTTCAGGTTTTCCTATTTAGATTGCTTTCGATGAATTTCACACGGAGGCTCGACGACAGATGGCTACTTTTCTCACTCAGGCAATTATTGATGCCTGTAAATTTCCTGTGGCTGGCGTAGGAGCAAGTATGTTTATCTTGTTTCCTTTCCTTCCATTCTTTTGTGTTTTAATACGATTGCGTGCATACTTCGGGTATTACTTACTTAGTTGGATATTTGGATGGCCCGTCTTCATTGGTTGTGCGGGTCTCAGTATAATTTCCACTTTCTCGGAATTTAGCTGGTTTGGCGACTGTGGTTCTCTGGAGTTTTGAAGTCATCCTAGCCAAAGTCTACCCCAGATTGTCACCACCACAGGCAGTCGCAGTCCTTGTGGATCAGAGGGAGATTTGTCACCACGCAACTACGTTGATATCAGGATGGTGGTGGATCGTGGTATTGGTTTGCTACTAGCTCGGCTTCCTGATGGAAAGGGCGGACTCCTCAGCAAGCCCGGCACCCAGGAACGCCTCCCGGCCACAGTGAGGCGGTAAACCGTTGGGAGGACTTAGCATATTAATGATATTAAGTGAAGTACTCTTATTTGTATTCTTTTAGCATTGTACACTACACTGCATAGTTCTTCTATCATGATTCCATCGTGAAGAACTTGTTTTGAAATATGTTTAATTTCGTAACTTTGGAACTACGTTAAGGTATTTTAGCTCAAATGCTTGATGCCTTTTCAATACGAAACGTAGCAATTGAGGAAGAGTCTTACATATCTGAAGAAGGGCGTATCACTTTATCTAGAATGCTAGCAATCAATTCGAAGCTTTTGAATCTGCTTGATGATCATCCCTTCAAGCACATTGTTTTTCCTACTCATCAGCTTCCCATGACGGTACGTCCTTAGTGTTTCTATGCTGTTGTATGGTTAGATTGTATGTCTAGCCGTATGATTTTGACATTTCGATTGTTGTTATGTAAAAATGACCCGATTTTGTCAGGTACCACCTCGACCATGGTGTGATAGTGGAATGGGAGGTCCGGAATATACACGCCGATCCGCGATTCTACGTAATTTAGCTGAGTACAAGCAAGTGGATATCAACAGACAAATGAGAAAGCGCCTTAAATCACCGTCAGTGCTTTGTTGGCTTTGAAGTAGCACTGAAACTTGCTCTCAAACTGTTGATTCGTTGCCCGAAAATCTTTTACAAAAAGGTGTTTGACAGAATTTTTCTACGTCCACATCAATGTGATGGCAAACATCGATTGAATCGGGTAAGAACTGTGTCGAACTGTCTCCCTCTGCACTAGGGACCGCCTTTCACCAAAATTAGTATTCCTTTGAAAGCTGAGATCCTGGTCCATAGATATGAACTCTGTTTTTCATGAAAGCTTTTGTGGCATTATATTGCTCAAAAACTTTAACAGAGAATACGATAAGCTTTTCTGACACAAGACAGCGAACAACGATAGTACAAGCACTAAAGGTTTAAAGGGCGGATTTTCTTCGGGTGACCTCTAACATACGAAGCTAAATCTACAATCAGTGCGAGCCACTAGCTAACATTCAAGTTTGCGTAGATGTGTAAACGTTCAAGGATATCTTGAGAAGAGAGGGACGAAATAAAAGAAAAAAACTTGATAAATGATGCAAAGGGTGATTAGATATCGGAAATTCCATCGAAATGTTTATTATGATGTCGTTATCCGTAGTTCTGGACCTACAGTAACAGATGGTCACAAAATTAAGAGTCAAATCAGGCCCACCGTCTAGTTGTAAAGAAATGCAAGGAAACCTACCGTTAGCATTTATGGCATTACCTGTTTGTTCTTCCCAGTTGTTCACTGGAGACTTGTGTTTGAAAGGAGTTATTGCATATCTTCACAAATGTTAGAGAAAGATATGGCTTCATTGATGTGATTTTTGTCCCTGGGAAAAGTACGCATCTCTAGAGATGTAGCATTAAGTGGTCAGGATATCGTATAAATCGTTTTTTATTTCACATGAACCGACATCTTATGTTGTGCAAACCTCAGTACTTCTTTCATTAGGTCCGTTTACTTGTACCCATCATACACAGAGGCCTTCAGTTTTTTTGTGTTTGACTGCTTACTAAGCTTTTTTGATCATCTTTACGAATGTCGAATGCTGTTGGTTCTCCCTGGAATCCAAGAATAGCTGCAGTGTGGCGTTCCTAAATCTTATGGCTCGGAGGGGCATTCCAGAGAAGTGTGGCATCAGTTTTCTGATCCTTGAAAGATGGCTCGGTGAAGGTTGGAACCAGTCTTTGAGCATATCATAACGCATCGCTACCACTGCCTTACCCGCTTCATGCATAGTGAAATGGTTGAAAATATTGTCTTACAATGTATAACCAAAAGCTATGCTTCAAGGGTCTTGCAAATTTTTTTTTGTAGGATGTTACAGTGTATAATGTGAAGGTTGGTTGCTCGCTCCACGCCATAGATACGCATCTAATTATAGAAACCATTTTATGTGCTCTTAAACCAAAATCCGGTGGGGCGAATAGCAGAGTGCTAGTGATGTCGGTCACCACGAGCTTGGTGCTAGTTCGATACGGCTCCAAGCCAACGGAGCCTCTCATCCTTCCTGGGTCGGGAAATTGGTACCGGACTTTTCCGGGAAGAAATCACTGTTTGCAATCCAGTTGGGAGCGTTCTAGCCCAGCTATCTCAGGACTCGAGGGAGAATCGTGTGGATCAGCATTCAACGACATTCACCATGAGATAAAAATCCTCAAGCAGTAGCCGAAGCCATACGTAAAAGTTGGACGATCTTCGTGGATAATGGATGCGAGGAAACGAATCGAATACGGGAAATTCTGGTACCCTAACAGTAGGCCTGAAGGCGCGTCATACAAAAATATGAAAAAGTAAAATCTTAAAGGATTTATGAACGTATTTTTATGCAGCCTCATAGTTTCGCCGCATATTGGAAGTGAAATTCAAGGACGATATACAGGACGTCGAAAAATAATCTAGTTGGTTGGAAAGGCTATAATATTCACGGATAGCCACTGAGAGCGAGAATTCCAAGAACACGGTGATATGATTATTTTATGAATGGCTTAAAATGGGCGTTTGAATGTTAAGCTGATGCATGACGTTATTTTTTTATTTACTGCCTATTACAATTCTTCACGGCAGAGTATTATGTGTGACACGACCACAGTGATTCTGAGATATTTCCAAAGTCTCCGGGCCGCAGGTGAGGTGTCTGCGATGGGAGTCAAACGCGCTATTTCGCTTTCCGGGTGCTAATGCGTTTACCACACCATGCAGGTCGTTCGTTTCACCTTTCTTTCAACTAGTTTTCTACCTACCAATGCCATCAGCAATGACTCGTCAACGGGAATGATCTGGGGAGCTAATGTATGACTGTAAAAAAAATTTTGGGCAGTCATTAGTAGTCTCTAGGACGGTGAAAAATATAGGTACTACTAAGATTTGGATCCGTATTGAACAAGGCTGTAGGTGATGTATGGTTGATGTCTGTTTTAGATCATTCACTACACTCCAAATTTTGTGATATTATAGAGATGAATTTCCGTTTGTACACGAGTCACTCGGTAGTGGCTGTCCCTGGTTTTTTATCTTTTTTTGTCTTGAGTGGATCTTGGTGAGAACAGTCCTCGGCATAAAGGCTGTGTAAATTTCGTTGAATCCGATCCCTCAGATCCAAAGATCTTAATCCCAAAGAGTATCGATGTACATGAATGCAAGTCAATGTGTCATTACTGTGTATCATGTTATTATTGTTATTTATTCAGAGTGCAAGCACGTCCAGTCCTCGATGCACTTAATCAGTTAGGGTCGACACCATGGAAGATCAATGAACCAATGTTGGATGTTCTCTGCCAGGTACTTCTGAAATTGATGATAAATGTCCTTTGCTAGCTTGCTTAACAAATTCATGACTTGTAGTCTCAGATCCTTTCTTTTAAAATATTTCTGCTCTTTTTCTAAAACTCTTCGTGTCAACGGCAATACACAGCATCGGCTTTCAATTAATATCGGCATTGGTCGGAAGGTTAATGCGCTGACGAACTGTTTGTTAGAACACTTGTGTTATGTTTGCTGTGACACATGTATCGGGAACGTTTTATCGCCCCGATAAGATGTTAAATTGCCGGTGAGGCCTCTTTAGACGTTTTGTAGTATAAAGAAGGGCTGCGTCCTACTATTACTGTATACTTACTTGGATACTTGGATGGCCCATCCACACTGGTTGTGTGGCGTCCAGCGAAATTTCCATTTTTTCGGAGTTTCGCTGGTCTGGCCACTGTGGTTCCCTGGAGTCCCGAGGTCAGCCCAGGCAGTCTTTCCCCAGGTCGTCACCACCACATGCAGTCGCAGTCATTGTGGGTCAGAGAGAGATTTGCCACCATGCGACTATTTTGATAC